AGACTAATTAAAAGGTGCGGGAGGCAATATTTGAGTTTTATCATTGATTGAACGTGACCACAATATGGTCTTTTAACGTTGTACTAGAAGTACGTGATTTGAACTATCGCCACTTTTACGTATCTTATTTGAAGGTAAATAAAACCATTCCCACCCAAAAACCTAGCAAATTTGACAAAAAAAATAAAAATTTTAGGAACTCCCAAATGGCCCGTAGTCTGAGAATCACCTATATGTGAAATCATATACACAGCTTAATTGCACATTTTTATTATGTATTCAATGTTTAGTCAACATTATTAAAAACAAAGAAATTGTTTCTGAAATTTAGTAGTTAAATTTTACAGTATCAGTTCCTTCCAAGTACACAAAACCAACTATGGTTTACATTTATTTCAATTCTTATCCATAGCTAAAATGGGGTTTCCTAGTTTACTAGAGCTGATACAATTACTGCTATGTCATCAAGATAGGGAATGATACACCAGGGGACCTTGTTCTTGAGAATTTGATATTGCCTAATCCTTTGAATCAAACGTTCAACATGAACCCTAGCTCTTGCTATTTTTGCACACTCAACTGATTCAGCACGAGTGAACTGCCTTGATTTTCTCAGAAAGGTTGGTCTGATAAGTTTGAGCATGTTGTCTAGACATTCCTGATCAATGTCATATCCTATATCTACCATAATTCCATCCCCAGGATCACACAACTGGTAAATTCCAGAATGTTCTGTTATGCATTTATCTGATGCTCTACCACCAAAGGCAGGACACATGTGACTTACAAGGCCGGATGGCGTGATGAGAACTAAAAATTTGGCAGTGTTATTCTTTTTGTAGTGCGAGTACGAGCGCACACGACATTGAATACATTTTGACTTTTCAATAGCCACTTCAAAGCAATCAAGGACGACTCTTGTACATTTGTAGCGGTTAAAACATTTAGGCAAGTTCTTTAAAACATCTTCTTTATCTGCCCAAAATACCATACAATGTAAAACCTTTGATAAAATGCCAACCGTGTCATAAAAATAGTTGCAACAGGTTTGAACAGTAACATCAAATAGAACTGCTAAGGCAGAAAAGCTGATAGCTAATTTTATCTTGATCATAGTAAGAATAATTCTATCTCTAGTGCACAAGGCAATTTTTTGTCTAGGGCTATCTGGGGCAATTTTATCGAAACAAATGACCAAGGAGTCTAAAAGTTTGATGGAAGGAAGGCCGGTGGCTGAAAACAATTTGCTGTCACTGGAAAGGATGCTGTCTATAAAAGGAGACTCAGGTTTAATATCAACTTGTATTCCCACGTCAATTAGTTCTTTTCTTTTCTGAAGGAGTCAGCACATTGACGTCAAAATATTCAGTATCGTCATTTGGGCCTTTCATCAGTGTCACCAGTAACTTCAGCTTCACCTGCATCACAATACATTATTAACACAGTGCAATAGCAGACATGCACACTCATGCACAAATACAAAACACACATGCATAGCTAATTGTAACCAGAACTACTGAAAAACTGATTAATTTCATACTGCAAATAAATAAAAAATAACAACAAAAATTAAAAACAGAAAAATTTGAGTTGATTGATCGATGAATGATTAAATTGATTTTGGAGAAAAAGTCACCATGATAATAATAACAAAATATGATCCACATAGAGCTTTGGACGACAAATCAAAACAACATACTTTTGATGAGTATCAAGTCAATAAACTTGATGGTCATCAAACATGAAAAAGGTTCCATGAAATTATTAACAGTAACAGTTCACAAAATTCAAAAACTATTTTCCCCGTTCCTACTCTGACCTGTTGTACCAGCTGTATCCAAGGAACCATTCGCCTTTGTAGGTGGCTCCCTAAACAAATTAAACAATATAAGAGCATTATTATTTAATATAGATCTGTTTGTTGTTTTCCAGGGGAAAGGCGGAAGGGTTTGAACCTACCAGATAGCTCTCTTTCTTGCTCTATCTGCCCTAGCCTCAATTTTACGCTTCAGAGGAGAAGTTAATTGTTTATCATGAGAGCGTATGGGAAGATGCTGTGAAGGTACTGCGTATGTCTTCAGAGTCAGTCTTTTACCTTTCCCAGCTAAATTCAGAGAGTTAAGAAATTAGAATCACTTTGCATACACTGAAAAATAACATTGTTGATAGACACTAGGAACTTACTGCTTTTCTTATAATCTTCTGGTTTGAAATGCTTACTGCACACCTGCATAGAATTGGTAATAATTTTGCCTGTTTTGATTGCATTGGCCCATTCTTTACGTTTTACGGGGTCTTCCGGAAAATAATGCAAATGATTATCTTCGGACTTTACGTCAGAGCATTGAGGCACACAGCAATTGTGCCTTTCTCTGGCCTGTTTTGGCTTCTTCGCCACAATGGCATTCACGATGTCTTCCATATTTCACTTTAATCAGACAACTTATACCCAAAATATGATCATTTGATTCGATTTTAATGTAAATAAACCAATAAAGTCGTCAGTGCGACTCAAACCCAGCCGTAGTCAATGCTTGTTTACGTCCTGCCTATGCCGGCCCAGCCGCCCGGTCACGGTTCGGCTCGTTCGGGGTTCGGCCGCTAGGGGCGCGCGCGTCACCGTTTGAAACGCCAATATCATCTGCAAACTCTCGACCCTTCTTCTGTCAGTACTATCTGCTGACACATTTAAATTAATTAGTTTTGTTAATTTCGAATGTGTTTTGTACTAGAGCTGTGTAGTGGGTGGTTTTGCACTAACAAAACACGTCAGCAGAGAGGAGGATCAACTGTTTCTGAAGACCGAATCGTTCGATAACCGGCACAGCGTCGCAAGAACAAAGTCCGATCTGTTGGTGCGTAGTCCGACAAGGTCCAATCTGCTCTCGGCCGCGCTCAAGGGGAGGATGGTATACACTGGGCCGGATTTCAACACGTGGTAAATGAATCGCAAGGTCGAATTCTTCACGTGGATCTTATGGAAGGGGTGCATACTTTGGAAATATCACTCGAGGTGAAATATACAGGTACGAGTTGTCGCGCACGACCCGGCTGCACTGTCTGTGCTGTGGGGGTAGAAAAGACTGGTACAAAGAGTTGCCCACGGAGAAAACCCCATTCTTGGCGCTTATTTACCATTTGTCCCACTGAAATTGAGTGGTACGAGCAGGCGAATTACCTTTTGTACCACTCTGGTATACAATGAAATTTAATTATGGATTTCAAAATGGACAAATGTAGAAGGCAAAAAAAAAACAAGCAGACCGGGCCTTCTGCCAAACGGGGTTGCCAGCTCTGCTTCGCTGCGCCGGCAACTCCGCTCGGCAGGGGCCGGTGTAAGACGCTTCCAGGTGGGGGATAAGATCATCGCACTATGATTCTACCCCCATCTTCCTTATCCGCAGGCAAATGTAGCGGACTATACTTTATTGGCAGAGCGACCGGGGGGTATAACCATCGCACTATGATTTCACTCCCCATACATAGAGGATCCTATGGGGGTAGGATCATTGTGCGATGATTTTACCCCCCCACTCCTGTAAAAAAAATAAGATCATCGTGCAATGATCTTACCGGGGGGTAAAATCATTGCACGATGATCTTACCCGGGGGGGTAGCGGGTACATCTATCGTCTGACACCTGTACTGCTTAGCCTGCCGGCAGCAACACTAGGGCCTGCGGCCCGACTGTTTCATTTACGCAATTTTCTGAAGCACAGAATCAAATAATGTAGGGGTCGTCATTAAGATTTGGCCCTCGGACATGAGAAAGGAACGTAACGTTGACACACCGTGACCTTTCTGCATAGAAAAACTTCTTTTTCAAGGGGGGGGGGGGCACTTTGCAATTAGAGGCCATCCTCTACAACTAAATGTTCACTACAGCAATTTTTAGCTTATTTTCGACAAAAAACAAACTCCAGCGCCAAAACGGTGAGAGATAGAGCCAAACGGACAAAATTTTAGCCCACAGCACTCTACTTTCACGAGTAACCCCTAAAAAGATCATAATAAAAATATTTGTTCCTAACTTTTTTGACCTACCCCCTTTTCTTCGATACCCCCTTTCAGCCCCTTAGGGTTGGTTGCCCGGATTTGCCTTAGGCGTTTCGTTTTTTCGGAGTGAACCTTAAGATACCCTGAAAATTTGAAGTCTCTAGCACATCTCCTTCTAGTGGAACAGACAGACAGACAGACACACAGACACACAGACAGACACACAGACAGACACGAGGTCGTTTGCATAAGCCCGCTAGACAGCATTCCTAAAGCAGAAGGGCGGGCTAAAAACAGGAAATGTAAGACAAACGCTATTTAAAATGCCTTGATT